GGGAGGGGGGCCGCCGAACAATTCTATAAACCACATTATTCATATCAGAATAGTGGTTAAAAGTATATGGATTGAACGGGGGGGGGGCAGAACAATCCTATATACCACATTATTTATACTGAATTGTGGTTAAAAACACAGTGTATTCACTTAAATCATTTTATACTATAGCAATAACAGACTGTAATAATGTAGTACAATATAGCAAGATGTTTATAAAATTTTACCATGATTATTATATTGGAATGAACATGACTGTGCTTGATTATTTTGTTATATAAATTCAAAAATATTTTTACAAAATAAAATTAATATTATAATATCTTATTTAATATTAAAGTAATATTTTTTACAATTATTATTAAATTATTTTGGTATGTGTTAACTATTAAAATATTTGTTGTGTTACTTCTATAAGAAGTAAAGATAATATTAATTCTATTAATTTAAACTCGTTTTAATTTTTATTATAAATATGAAGTTTACTAAAAAATTATTATTTTAGCATAAAAGCATATTTTAAAATAATAACAGCCAAACTTATTAACATACAAAAGTGCTGGATCATTAATTGCCAATTAACATAAATTGATATTATTGATATTATAACCCAATTTTCCAATAAGGTGTTATTTTATTATTAAATATTCACATGTAATTAAGATACAAATCAGAGACAATTAAAATAATTTTTTAATACATAATAAGCATATCTTTAGTGGTATTTACACTAAATCTCTATAAAAGGGGAAATTAATAGTCAATTAAATTAATTTGTTTTGTGAGAAAAAACCATGTTAAATATTTAGCGAAAAATCTAATTTACAAATATCATTTTATATGCCTATGTGTGGCACAAGATTATCATCATGTTGAATTTTATTAAACCAATTTGATAGCTAGAGATATGCATATTATGTATTCATGTATACAACAAACAAATGGATTTACATTTTTGTTTTTATATCACTTTGAAATATATATTTTTTTAATGATATGTTTTTGGGCTATAAATTGATTTTTTCACTTAAAATTGAGACATAAAAATGGTTTTATATATTTATAGCCAACGAAAAAATCTATGTAATAATAAAGCATAACATGAAAAACATCTCAAAATATTTTATATGTAAGTTTTTTGTATGCATTTTATTATTCAATAAATCATATGATGTCAGAGAAAATGTTTGTTTGTTTTGTTGGTTTTTGCATAAAATTTAGACCAAAAATATTTATACATAAAATATGATTAGTTTATGCATTAATGTAAAATATTTTTAATATGTTTAATCAATTTTACGACTAATTTAATGTTGAGTTAAAACATGCATTTTTTATTAACCAATTTTTTATCGCATGTTTTTAATGTTAAGGAAATTATGGCAAAAAAATAATAATAATTTCCATACATTTAACACTCGTTTGATTCGTAAAAAATAAAATAAAATTTCATTGAAATAATTAGCAAAATGTTTCCTAAACTCATCCCATTTTAGGAAATTTCACCTTAATAAACTTCCCCAACAGTACAGTAGCAAACTTACATGGAAATAATTATCATGATAATTATTATTACTATTACAATAACTATTTACCCAATCGAAGTCTAGCACTGTCTGCCCGTTCCCCTCAACCAAGCGTGAAAATTATTGATAACTAGTTGTGATAATTATTTCACATAATTTATAATTCATATTGGTAATTTTTTAATACTAAAAATATATCACATTTTACTATCAACTAGGGTAAAAATAAAACCAATCAAAAATACATATTAAAATTATTGCGGTAGTTATCATAGCCATAAGGAATGCTAGTATACAATAGTAATAGTATATTGTGTTTATATAGTATTTTGTAACAGTTTATTACATAACATGTATAATAAACATGATTAGCTTATTTAAAATCCTTATTGTACGAGTTCAGTATAAAAATAATATGTGTATATTATTTATATATTTAATAATGTACTGACGTGAAATATATCATATAACACGATTGTTTTATTATTTGTTAAATATATAAATCTAAAAATAAATCAAATAATTTGATGCCTGTATTTGGCCATCAATTTGATGATTACGTCTGCGGTTTATAATCATAACAATAATATAAAACCTTATTTTATTCACACAATAATTACTTTATTATATAAATAATATCATATTTGGTATCAATTTTTGTGTATATGTTTTTACAATTGGTTTTTGTGTTATGAAATAATACGCTAATAAATGATAGATAAGCATAAATGTCAGCAGAAATATATAAAACAATATTACATAGATTTTATATTTTATTTATTATGATAAAATTACGCTGTCGTAATAAGTTAGCTAAATAAAATAACATTCATGTAATTTTGAAATATCACCATATTTAGTGTCCGTCATTGAACGCCGGTGTGGGCAAAAAATGTAATCCGACAATAATTATGATCATGTTATATAATATAAATAATATTATATAATACGATACACACTATTACACTAAATAAGGTGATACACTAAATCGCAACTAATAAAAAAATGGTGATTTTGTTTGTTTTGGTGCTATTATTTCTGCCGTGATAAATTTTGTTTACTTTTTTATTACCTACATTCTTTACCTTATGGGTTTTGGCATTGATTTTACGGCTAACTAAACAGCGTATTTGTAATTACCCTTCATTAAATAACTTTTGTGTTTTATGTATTATATTTGTGTGTATTGTGTCTACAGTATTGGTGATGATTAGAAAATCACTCGATATAGTGAACCAGCCATACGTGTAAACTTCATATACCGTCTATGAAAACAATTATTATTTATATTGTTTTTATTTGAGAGAGAGAGAGAGAGAGAGAGAGAGAGAGAGAGAGAGATGTGATAATAAATATCGAGGATGGTTAATGAAGTGAGCAATTGTGTACACATTATGTAATGTACAGTAAATATTACTTATAGTGTACTTAATATTTCAAGTATAGTTATTTTTAGTGTGAATTATTCATTAATCAGATAAACATATGATAGATAAGAGTTTTTTAAGGGAAAAATGGTTGTAAAAATTACTTATAGCTAGAAATGACATGAATATCTGATAATTAATGATCAGAGCATATGTTTATCATATATTTTAAAATATTTAAAACTAATTAATTATAGTTTTATATTTTATAATGAAATCAAATATTTATTATTATCGATATAGTAGTATAGCTGAGGATATATACAGTACACATCCATATATTATTTATCTAATAAATCTATGACAAAATACTATATACTTTTTCCCCTACATATTACACAACCAATCAGTCATTTCCTAACAGATATTTTTGCTGTTAACGAGACATTCATTATAACGAGTGATACATATTATATAAAGTTTATATATAATACACATTGAGTTTTGCAATCCGTGTTATGATTTTTATTTAGGATATACTATATTATATACATTGAGAAATAATTACATAATTATTATTTTATACACTATTGACGGCACCGGTAGTAATAGTGTTGTCGACTCATAGAGATGTGCCATTCAGTCGATCCCTTGTTTTAGTGAACCGTTAAAAAAGTGTTACTATTTTTTGTAGTTATATAACAAACACATTATTTTTTCGTCAGTAATTATAGTGTATTTTCTGTTGTGATAAGTATTTAATGGTTTGTTTTTTGGGGTACACTATATGTGGTTGTGTTGAGAGAGAGAGAGAGACAGCTCTGGCAGGTATGGTATCGATGGCCGGGTGGGTATGGGTTGTGATCGTAGACATTATGTTATTGTAATGTTAATTAAAGAGAGAGAGAGAGAGAGAGAGAGAGAGAGATTAGTGAAAAACCATCAATATAAACTTGTTATACTCTATTGTTTTTATACACACATAGTATATAATGAGATATATTTTTAATACTTTGTGTTTTGCTTTATATTTTTGTCTTACTTTTTTTCGACACAGGATTTTGATTATTAGAGCAAAAATGTAATTAAAAACAACTCTATTTTTATTATTGTTGTTTATTATTGTATTTATATTTTTTGTTGTACACTATATGCGAGTGTGAATAGACGTTATGCCTAATGATAGGCATATTTGCAAAAATACAATCACATAATAAGTTATAAAACTTTTGACAAACTTTTTTGCAAAAATATCATTGAATTTAATGTTCAAATTCAATACCATTTCTACAATATCTGTGACTTTAATTTTGGTGTAATGTGTTGTTTAGTTAAACATTAATTAACATTACAATAACATAATGTCTACGATCACAACCCATACCCACCCGGCCATCGATACCATACCTGCCAGAGCTGTCTCATTACCGGCTAATCTCTTACTATTACAGCAATCGGTGTTGGATTCGGTGAAATCGGATCGTGTGATAAACACCGGGCCTGAAGAGGACAGACGCCGGCGGACTATAATTGTCGAGAAACGTAACCAATCATTTGGATTCACATTACAGGTTAGTTAAAGTTTATATTGTATTTAATTTTAATTATATAGTTTAAGTTTGTTTATCAATGTTTAGTAATTTTTTATAATTATTATCTAGTTTAATAATATTTATTATGTCCATCTCGATCGTTTGTTATTAAAATATAGATTTATTATTGTATATTAATTTTTTTAATGATTTTAATCTTATATTTTATTTTTATCGATTGTATTGTTTAAAATAATTTTTATTTTGAGTTATATTTTTATCGATTAAATCGGTTTTGCATTTAATTATATAAAATGTTTTATTTTAATGAGCAGTGATTTTATGTCAATGAATGACATTCATTGAAATGGTAGAAATTAGTGCTTATTATGGTATGGATTAAAAACTGATTAAAATGATAAAAATAACAATTTTGTTAAATCACTAATATTATGGTGAAATTAGTTCAGCAAAAATAATAACTAAAAACAAAACAAATGCTATAATAAAGTGGTATTACAAACATATAAACAAATCAGCGAGTTTTTAATACATCTTAAAACAGTTTACATGGATTTAAAGTTTTAAAATTAACTTTTTAAATGACATTTAAACTCAATATAATGAACACCAAAAATATACTGTTATACTGAACTCGTAAACCAAATATATTTATTTATTTATATTTTTAATTCAAAGTTTTATTATAAATACAAACAAAATAGAGATTTCAAAATTGGTGTCAAAAATACATAAAATAATTACAATTTTAAGTTAAACTAAAATAATGATTACAACTATCTATAAAAAGTAGAAAAAAATTATTTCAATCATCGAGTTTAAATAAGAAAAATTATTTTTACAAACTGTATATAATTGCAAAAATAACAATTAATGTATAAAAGCTATTGCCAATGTTATATCTATGGGGTGACTTGCGACATAGCATTATTATAGACAAGTATTATTAAACAATTATAATCATATTATATAAAAATATACAACTTGTTTTTACAAATGTACAATCTCATTTTAATTTTTGCACAGACCTACGGCATAAAGCACCATCGTGAAGGTGATGTAGAGCTACTGACCTACGTTGACCATGTTGAATACGATGGACCCGCATTCAGGGGCGGTATGAGACCCGGCGATGTTATACTGTCCATAAATGGCCGCGATATGGAAAGGGCCGATCACAAGACCTTGGTCAAATATATTAGCGCGTGCGAAAAAACCATGAGGATCGTGGTACTTTTTGAGGACTGTGTCCGCAAAGTGGAGCTCCATATCAAGTATTTAAAGCTTAAGGTAATTTTTTGTTTGATTTTTTGTTTTGTTTTGGTAATTATAAAAATATATGAAAATGATAAGTTTATTTTGTGTGATTTATTTCGATAGGCTCGCTTATTTAAGTGTTTTTAAATATGCTAATTAAGCGATCTGTGTAGATTTAGGTCATGTGTTGTTAATCTATGTGTGTGTTTATATATTTTGCACTTATCTATATGTTTTTACTTATTGAGAAAATTTACATTTTTATATTTATTTGTTTTTTATGGTAAAACAATTTTTTGAGTTTGTTTTGATTTTATATTGTTTTTTAAATTATGTAAAATTATTTCCAGTATTTATTTATAAATTATAATCGCTATTCAAATAGTGAATTAATAATTTAATTAGATTAATACGTTTAGATTAAAAGCCCATGATAAGTTTGTTTTAATAACTAACAATATATCAAAACTAACATTTAATTTAATAATTATACAAGATTATATTTATTATAAATTAAATAACATAGATAATAGACTAGTTATTAATTTTTAATAATTTAAACCAATAATTAAATTATCGGTTTTGTTATTTCCCATTAATTAAACTCTCAATAAACCTATTAAGGTTGTTTTAAAAATACAAACCACACCCTAATTAATTCTCTGCCTGTCCTTAAACCGAGTTAGATCAATTGAAACATAAAATTTACCATTATTAAATTACAATATATTATTTGCTAAATGACAATAAACTAATTTAATTAAACCCCTTTATAAAAGTTAAATAGATTAAATTAGATTTATTTATTAACATAGATTTCAGAGTAAATCAAAACAACATTCATTCAATTAATTAGCGCATAAATAATGCCCTATTAAGTGAAGTGTGTGTGAGTTTTGTATAGCCTTTATTCAATATACCGTTAATTGAATTAGCAAATGTACTAGCATTAGCGTTGCCAGAAAATATATTGGATATCCTGTATTATTGAGAAAATTTTACCAAAAATTCCTGTATTTTCCTGTATTTCATTGTTTTACAATCAAAACTTCAAATTCATATAATTTCCATAGAATCATATTTTTGCGAAAATTTGAGTGTTTGTACAAATGTCTTTAGACATTAATTAATTAAGTTTAAATTTATTTAATTTCTAGCATTAGTTCAGATTGTGTATTATATACATTAGGTGTACAAGATTAATATTATTAACAAATCTGAATATGTTAGTATTTTCAGTGTTTATTGCTAAAACATACATTCCTGTATTTTTCAATGTACAGGAATGACACCTTCCTGTACTCTGCAAAATTCCTTAATTCCTGTATAATACAGGTCATTCCTGTATATCTGGCAACGCTAGCTAGCATAAATAAATTGCTTTCACTTCAAATGAATGACACATGAATTGTATTCAATAAATTAATACTTTTGGATATAGGAATAAATGTATATAGTATTAATTAATAAAAAGTAGATTGTTAAGTCAATTGAAAAGTTTTTATTATGCATTAAAATTAATTGTATAAACAATATATTTTAGTATTTTGAGAGTGCATTGAAATTAATGCCCGAAAGTGAGCGACTCTTAACAGTAACTCATTTATTATCACTTGACTAATGAATATAATATTTATCTATAGAAAAAACAGTGTTTAATAGTTAGGCATAAATTATATAATACTTTTGTTTTACTCGTGATAAATTTTATGAAATAGTTAATGTAATTTTAAAATGCAAGAATATTCTACAGAATATTCTTGACGTGATTTATAAGCGCTTAATATATTTGGTGAATATATTTAACACTTCTGTCATACAGTATAATAATAGAAGATATACTTAAAACTCTCTCGCTTTCTCCCTCTCTCTCTCTCTCTCTCTCTCTCTCTCTCT